GCATCCCTGCCCAAACCATAATTCCGTTCGTGTTCCAAGGCCCCTGAAAGCTGTTTTATGTTGGGTCTTTTTTTAGAAAAAGACAACCTGGCATAAAGCCTCTTTCAGGCTTCCTTAAACACGTTTCGTATGCAAATTCTCAGTATTTTTATGCCTTGGCTGAATATGCCCCTCTCGCCCACTCGGCGAGACGAGGGGGCGAAGCGTGGTTCAGGTGAACCTGTCCAAGGGAGCTTATCCCTGGACCGTCACCAACAATTTCATATGAGCTGTAGTCTAAACTCCTTTCAGGGGGGTTATATAAGGCATTATATAGGGGACTACTATGGGGATTATCAATGGGGATGCTAGGCTAGGAGTTTAGACAATGGCTCATATGTTGAAGACCCCTTCAGCCCTTGCGGAGCTGCAGTTCATGCGCAGCAAAGCTTGTTTTCGTAAAGGAGACTTCGTCAGAATGTGTTTGTCCGCCGCACCAAAACAAACTATTGGGATTATATTGGGTTTATTGGGGTTATATTGGGATAATTAATGCGCCCCTTTCCAAGAAAACAAGCTAAAGCCGCATGCAGTTTGTTTCTCTACCTTCCCTTTTTCGTGAGCCACTCTAGAATGCCTCCAAAACCCCAAGCTCGCTGCTGGTAAGGAACTCAGACCAATTGCCATAGCATGATATGGATAAGTTAAGGCTTCCCTATATAGGGTTCCCAGTTTTCTTTAAGGTTTCACAGCGCTTCACACAACCCAGTATGCCTAAACCCTAAACTTTGGGGGAGGACCACGGCACATTCACTGGGACCCCCAAAAAGGCATCCCTAATCTTAGGAACCCGCCAAGTCAGCCTGCCCTAGACCCTAAACTCTAAGCCCTAAACCCCGGCTCTAGCCCCTAAACCCTCATCCCCAAACCCTAAACTGGGCATTTCGTGCATTCGAAGAGAGGCGCAGCAACCCTAAACCCTAATCCCTAAACCTGAAGCCTACACTTTTGAGAAGGATTGTGGTGTTGGGTGACACGCACGGGCAGCTGGCTGACGTGCTCTGGGCTGTGTCGGAGCTGGGTCTGCCAAGCGACACTGGATTGCTGTTCATAAGGCTTAGGGTTTAGGCTTCTAGGGTCTAGGCTTTAGGGTTAGGTTAGGGTTTACGGTTAAGGGTTTAGGGTTTAGGGTATATGAGGGTTTAGGGTATATGAGGATGTATGGAGGTGTATGAGGTTTAGGGCTAATAGGGGGATAATGGAGAATCGAATGGAGTAGGAGATGGAAACGCGGAATTATAGTATATAATGGGAATAAGCAGGTTTTAGTAACCAGAGCCCTCAAAACAGGGACCCCGTTGTTTTCTTATGGTAGTTGTGGGATCCCAATGTGTGGGGTTGGGGTTACAGGAATACTCTTACTAGTTCAGAAATGGGGATACATAGAGGTCATCCAGAGATATATGGGCTTTGGGATAGCTGCCACCAGGAAACTTTTATTTTCTTACTACATGTGAGTTTTTTTGGTAACTTCATTGAAGTTTCTTAGGTACGGAGCATGTCCATATTTTGAGTCACTTAAATGAAGGTTCTTAAAAGCAACCCAGGAGAAGAACGTCTACGTGCTCAACGGGGATATCGTACCTTAACACCAACCCAAGACTCTAAACCCTCAACCCTAAACCCTAAATCCAAAACCTAGATTTTAAACTTTAAACCCTAAACCCTAAATCCAAAACCTAGATTTTAAAAACACCCTAAACCCTAAACCCTAAATCCAAAACCTAGATTTTAAACCCTAAAGCCTAAACTCTAAAACCTATGCCCTAAACTCTAAAACCTATACCCTAAACTCTAAAACCCATACCCTAAACCCTAAACCAAGCTGGGGGCTTGCTGAACAGTTGCTTCATTTGGGGTTTCCCCAAAATTAGGAGTACCTTTTTCGGGAGACTCCATAAACTATACATTATTGGGGTCCCCCTACTTTCAGAAACTTTTTTCGGAGTACCTATATTGAGGGCTAGGGCTAAATCATGTTGGGGGTTTAGATGGACCATACTTTGGTTTGGCTAGCTGTATGACAGCAGGAAGTTGGGGAGGAGGGCTTCTAAAAACGATCCCTATTTACTCTCAAATGTGCACCTCCAATCAGCTTCGTTTAGGGGGAACGCAGAGGGTAGTAGGGGGTGGTTGAGCGAACCCACAAACCCTAAACCCCAAATCCATAGTCGTATCGACTGAGGCAGACCGTTGCGATTGGTCTACAGAGATCTTCATGCTCCTTACTGATGCTTAAGGGGGATTGGGTTTAGGTACGGAAAAAGATACCGGCGACTACTTTGTTCCCTTCATTTTGAGGCGTAGGAATGGAAAGAACCATGGAAACTACCGTACGTACTATGATCTGAGTAGTTATGGGGATCATATAGGCATAGTAATACCCTAAACTTAGACCCCTACTCTTCCTTCAGCAGCAGTAAGGCTCTTCTTGACAATCACTTTGCAGTATCCCAACGACCCCGTGGTTGTCATCAATCGAGGTCCGCCGATTCTGGGTTTAGGGATGTGCTGCCCAAGCTTTGAACGGCTTCAGCGGTAGTTTTAGGGTATTTACCATTTCTTGGTTTTTGTCTGGTCTCGTGATCTTTCACCTCCTCCTCCATAAATCCAGGCAACCATGAGTGCATGACCATCAACGGCTCTCGTTGCGGGGGTTTTCAATACGAGCTGCTGGACAAGTATGGTGCTATTTGGGGCCCATACTTGCATTCCATGTTCGGCAGCCTCTTTCGTATCCTTCCCGTGGCAACCCTGGTCAACAATGTGGTTCTTGTCATCCACGGTGGAGTGGGCCGTGACCCAGAGAACCAGCTCCGCCGCTTACAAGACCTGGATGCGGACTTGCGGGAGGCAGCAGAGGGGTTTATTGGGATTACATTGGGCTTATATTGGGTTTATTGGGATTATATTGGGCTTATACTGGGTTTATTGGGATTATATTGGGCTTATATTGGGTTTATTGGGATTATATTGGGCTTATACTGGGTTTATTGGGATTATATTGGGCTTATATAGGGTTTATTGGGATTATATTGGGCTTATATTGGGTTTATTGGGGTTATATTGGGCTTATATAGGGTTTATTGGGATTATATTGGGCTTTTATTGGGTTTATTGGGGTTATATTGGGATAATCAATGGAAAAGAAAATGGAAACTAGCATTCAATAGCTTTAGCAAGGATGGGATCTCTTAGAGGCTCAGAGAGTCTTTGCAGCAGCTCCCTTGAGATAAATCCAGCATTGCTGGGATTTGACAGGGAGAGCCTGGTGTTGAGAGCATGCCTACATACTGTTGTTGATACAAAATCCTGAAGCATAGTAGAACACCATAGTTCCCAAAAGTAGAGGGTACTTAGGGTCATGCAGGATTTCTGGCATCCACCCTAAACCCTAAACCCTGAACCCGGAACCCTAAACCCCAAACCCAATACAACCGATGGGCACATGTAAGAGGTTTGAAGGGTTGGAAAAAACAATACAACCCTTATATGCCTATAGTCCCCCTTAGGTAGATAGAATTTGGGGTATGGGGATTTTATTACAATATACCCAAAGCCATATTCTATCTACTTAAGGGGAACTATATTTCCTATACTATATGCCATCATGTCGAGGCATCTGTCAATCCGTGGGGCTTGGAAGGCGATGAAGGCATGGACGCCTTGGTGGATGCCTTATGGTCTGATCCCACAGCTGCCAGGTTGGTTAGTGTTTAGGGTTGTGTGTGGGGTTTAGGGTTTAGGGTCGTGGGGTTTGGGGGGTGTCCCCAAAAATGGAGGATGAAACGGACAAAAATGGAAACTGGGTTTTATGGGGCAATATCATGTACGGAATTAAGGAACTTGCATACAGTACTTTTAGCTATATACAAAAGGCTGGCTGTTTAGAACGTATGTATCCACATTGTGGTAGCTCAGCTAAAGGTCCGTACACAAGGAACGCCAGTCATTTACTATTTATCCATACTATGGTACAACTTCTCAACAACAACCCAGGATATGCCCGGCAGCCGTGTGAACACGCGTGGAACTGGTCACACCTGGGGACCTGACTACACGAAAAGGTTCTGCCAAAGCAATGGTGTGAAACTTGATGGCTGTTAGTCGGGAATGGAGGAATGGATTCCTATAGTGGTCTCCATATACTCCCCTGTAGAATAACGTGGTCTCCGTTTTCTTTTCCATTTGTTCCTTCCCCTCCGAGACCCTAAACCCTGTAGCAGTCTCCAGTTTCTTTTCCATCTCTTCATTCCCTACTAGCAACCAGTAAGGAAGCTGGTCATTCGCTCCCACCAGGTGCCACAGGATCAGCACCTCAACTGGCATTGGCGATGTCGGTCTCTTTTTGGGTACCCTAGATCTTAAAGGACATATTATATTGCGGGCCCAAAAAGGACCACAAGTTTGACAAACCTACCCCAAGGCCAACAGTTTGCACCTAGCACGTGCTAAGAAGTTCTGCCCAAACTTGCCCAAACTTAAACCCCAAACTCTAAATGAATTGGGGGTGTGGCTACCCTGAACCTCCAAGTAGGAACCCTAAACCCTAAACCCTAAGAGGGATTCTTGCAGTGCTTGGAGCGCAGCCTCGGGGCAATTTCATGATTGCTTCAGACGGTAAAGAAATCACCTCCCCTCGAAAATTTTTGTAAAACGCCCAGCCCCCCCCAATATTAAGTCTTTCCGATATTATATATCACAGTATATATTATTATTTGGGGAAAAATTGATTTTAGGGAGGTGGGGTGGGGTGTAATATTAGGGGGAGGTGATTACTTAAAGCGGACTTTAGGCTTCTCCTAAACCCCTAAACCAAGGAGTGGGGTCTACGTCCACAAGGCCCACAAAAGCCAGCTGATCACCGTCTTCAGTGCTTCGAACTACAGGCCAGCATCCTTACCTGTATCAGGGTTTAGGGTTTAGGGTTTAGTATAGGGTTTAGGGTTTAGGGGGGTTTAAGGGTTTAGGGTTTAGGGTTTAGGCAAACACTTGCAATGGTTGAGTCCGAATATCCGTGTGACACAACTACAAAAATTTAGGTTTAGGGTGTAGGGTTTACGGGGTGTAGGTGTAGGGGTTAGCAGAGAATGAAGGTCACATGGAAAAGAATATTGATAATGACATGGAAACTACTGTATATTCGGATGATATACGGATATATAGAAATATCTATCCAATAATCAAATTGACAAGACAACGGACAACCTGGTGTTCAACGGCTTATATAGGGTTGGGGGTTCAGGGCTTACCTACCTCTGGTTAGAGGGATGGAAAATCAATGGAAAAGTACATGGGGGCATGAAATGGAAACTAGGGTTGTGTAGGTAGGGTACTGGCTGTTAACCCCCAACAAAATAGTTTTCTTCACATTCTTTTCCATGTCTTCATTCCCTGCTAGTCCCTATCTGCTCCCCTGTGATAGTCCCTACATTCCCACCTCCACTCCCCGATTTTAGGGTCATCAACCCTAGGTAACAAAGTAGTTCGTTCACGGCCCTTAGAACGCCGTTGGCCGAACTCCAAATTTTGCCTAATTTCGTCAGTTTGCTACACTTCAAAGCCGCCGGCGTGCTGTTGGCTCTGCTGGGTGTGGTGTTAGGGGAGGGGGGCGTGGGGGCGTGGGGGACGATTATGTGCAGGTTCTCCTGAAGACATATGACAACAAGTTGGTTTTTGCTGTGCGCAGAGTCTTCGCAAACAAAAAAAGACAAGTTCTTTGATTATGTGCAGAATGTACGCAAATCATAAGAACGCGTAGGCATTTTCCCAAATGCAGAATACAAGCAAGACAGAATGGCAAAACCTCCTTGTTCCGTTTGTACACTTACCGCAGGCACCTTGAGTCAAGCAAAATCTTCGCAGTCTTTTGTACGTAGCCCTATGATTGCTGATACTGGTAGCGGAGCAGGTGAAATACCTGCATCCGGTAGGGTAGGTACTTTTTGTATCCAGGCTGGGCGAGCCCACAATGTCGACCCAGGAATTCGACCCCTTGTAGACTACTTCGCTCCCTGAGCCAAGAGTGTCTCTGGCAATGAGGAGCTTGCCAGGTTGCGTGATCAATGGTTGGGTTTATGGGATAATTATGATCCTTATGATCCTTAGCTTGAATGCGCGCCCTGGGGCTGGACGAGTGCCATATAGCTTGGATTCTACAGCGCCTGGATGATGCGGCTCCTGTCATCCGACTTGCGATGTGGAACCGACACCGACAAGGAATTAGAACTTGTGACTCAGGGCTGAAAGCTTGCATGCGCCCATGCTCTTAAACGTCCAGTGCCATAAGTGCGCTGGCTGGCGTGCAGTCCGTCGTCTGTTTCTGGGAAGGAGAAAAAATGTTACCTAAACTTTACGCTCAGCGTCTGTGGACTTCTGACCGAGGAGGTTCCCAAGACCGTGTACCAATGAACGTTTTGCATGCATCTTGTCAAAAACACCTATTTCAGCCCGATGGAGCCCTTCCAAGAATATGCGAGCAATTGTCGAAAAGAGTTCATAACAAATCGTTTCGCCAGAACTTTGAAACCTCACTTTCCGAAACAAAAAAAATTGAAATCAGCATAAACGTATTTCGAAATGATACATTTCCACGATGAGCCTTGCTCGAATCCTCCAAGGCATGTAACAGGCCGAGAACCCAGTAGTTTCCGTTTTTTCCACTCCCCCACTTTTTTAATGACTCTAAGCATCCTAAACCTTAAACCCTGTTTCTGTTGTTTTTTCATTCTTCACGCCCTTACGCAACTGTAACTCGTTCCCTAAGCCCTTCAAAGGGGCCGCAAGAACCGGGCCGGCGCAGTGATCCTTCAGCCGGGGGCCAGCGAGGACTCCTTGGATGCCCTGTGCTACTCGGTCTGGCCTGTTACTTACAAGGCTTATACAAGTAGTATTTAGGGCCCCTGGGCTCATATACGGTTATAGGGGGTTTATTATATGGGGTTTTCTAGGATTGTATAGCGTTCAGGGCTGTAGGTGCGGATTGGAAACGAAAATGGAAACTGCAACATTCTTCCGGGCTTAGGGTTTAGGAACGGAAAAGAACATTGAAACTATCGTAGTATTCAAAAGTTTAAGGTTTTAGGATATCAGGGTATATTTTTCTTATTAACCATCAGTTAGAGAAGGGATGCCTCTGTGAATGTCTTGCTGGTGCTTGCAGGGCGGCGGGGAGGTGATCCTGATCATATTCCTCGGTATAAAACTTCCATGAATACCCTTACCTGCATTTAGACGTTCGACGGAGTAAATCTAACCCGGCCTAACTTCACCATTTCCCAGAATTTCTCTTCTTGAGGGCCGCAGGTGGTGAGGGTTTACTTTCATTTGCAATAGTAGTTATATTATCAATAACCTACTCCCCCTTAAACGCCAGTAGCCATTCTCCCTTGAAACTTTACATCCTAAACCCCAACTCCTAAAACCATCGGAACAAAGGTGCAACATAAACAACAAGCTCTACATCCAAAGCCCTTACCTGATTCCCTAAATCTAAAAACCCCAAATCTTGAGCCTTACATCCTGAGCCCTCAACCCCCCACCCCCAAATCCTAAACATTACATCTGCAACCCTCGACTCCTAAATCCTAAGCCCCAAACCCTTTTGAAATGCGAGGCCACGACCTGGGTTCTTGTCCCTCATGGCGTGTCCTTTCGAAGTCGGCGAATCTCAAGCCACGGACCCGGCTGCAGGGCGACATTGGCCGCCTGGCTTTTAAGATTTTTAAAGGGTTAGGATCTGAGGTTTGGAAGACAGAGTTGTCCCAAGGTTGTATTAATCCTGCTTTGGAGGCTTCCATGCGCAGAAGGGGCCAACATGGATACCAACATAGGATAGTCCACACAGGGAATTGTAACCCGTGGAATCGGGAAAACCCAGGAAAGGGATGTATCTTGGAGATGTTGGCCGAGTTAGCCGCAATGGCCTGAGTTGGAAACGGATCAGTTGAGAACAGGGCAGGGGCAAGTCAGACATGGACGGAGGCTTCAGTCAGGAACGGACAGTGGGCGAGTCAGAAACTAGAGTCGGGAACAATACAGAACAAACACAGGCTGAGAACAGGTTCAGGGCTGAGGGACTAGCAGTTCAGGGCTGAGGGACTAGCAGCTTGAGACGCTTTAGTTTTTAGGATTTCTGACTCGAAGCATGTTCATTCTCGACTCACACCCTTCCTGTTCTTGACTCACGCCCACGTTTCTGACTAACCCTCCCGCCTGTTCCTAACTCGCCCCACTCTTGTTCCCGACTTGTGCGCCTAACTCGCCTGTCATCCGTCTATTTAAAGAGATATATAGTAATAATGGAAAACAAAATGCAAACTACTATAGTCCTCAGGGTTTCGGGTTTACGATTTAGTGTCAGGGGGTGAAAAAGGGGGATAACTAGGGTTACGACATGGGTTATTAACCTTTTCACTAAGTCCCCCTGACCCTCCAAGTAGCTGCTGGAAACATTTCCAGCTATAGTCCCCCTTAAGTAGACAGAATACGGAATTTACCTACAGAATGAGATCCCCATATACTCATATTCTATCTATTGAAGGGGGGCTATAAGTTGATGATGAGCCTAAAGCCTAGACCTTAAGTCCTAAACCCTAAACCACAAACCTTAAATACTAAACCCTAAACCCCTAAACCCAAAACATTGTAAGTTGATGATGAGCTCATTGCGGAGTTGCTCCAGCACTCCATGGGCTTGCTGGCGGAATGGCGTGTTCCGCTTTGGGAGGCCTGCACACGTCCGGTGCTCAGAGTTCAGACATATGGGGTTAATCTAGGTATGCTATGGGGTATATAGGGTCTTTGGAAGCTTAGATAGATCACAGCAGTATGGTACAATTTGAAAATCAAATGGAAAAGGACATGGGACATGAAATGGAAATTGAGTTTATATCCCATGCTCAAGCGTTTATCAAAGTGGATGGCTAAGGCCAATGCAGACCCAAGCCTCCAAAGCGATCTACACGTTAGATGCCTTAGAGTAACTTGGGGAAGCCTATAGGGGTTATTTGCAGTTCATATCAAGGATCTAAATTTTAGATCCTCACAGGGATCTGGGGAGCTGCAGAGGCGAAGATGTGTCGCTGAAGGGGGTGATCTCTCTATCCTCCTGGCGGCGGATCTGTCGAAACACGACCAAAATCTACATCGACTGGGTTTTGGTGGCTCGCCTCGTGGGCGGTGCAAGCCAGAACAATCTGCGGTACATGGAGACACTCAATCGCTTCGGTTTCGAGATCGCCTCGCAGGCAGTGTAAAGGGACGAGGTCCACTCCCCTCTATAGGGTATCACCCAAAAAAACATTTGTCAGTGTCGAACTTGAACATTGAAGCTACCATATCACAAGGGACTACATAGGCGCCACTGTAGGAGCTAGCATGTTACATTTGGAGGTTCAGGGTAATTTTGGTCCAAATATGCTTCTACCCGAAACCCTAAGCCCTACACCCTAACTAAACTGGGTTATAATTGCCTTGAATCCCCAAGTAGGGACCCTAAATTCCAAAGCTCCCCTTCCGGCGCAGGTGGTGGAGAGCCGCCTTGCCAGTTCCGTCTTGGCTTCCATCTACCTAACCATGATGCCTTGCTGTTTGTTAGGGTTTAGGTTGGGTACTGCCCCCACCCAGTAACAGTCTATATTAGGGGTCCTACTAAGGGCTATATATAACCTTATTATAATCAGTATCCAACTGTTACTGAGGGGGGGCAGTACCCAAGGTTTAGGGTTTCAGGGTTTTCAGTACTTGGACATTCAGGCTGGTGAGAACCCAAACATAATCGGTAAGTATGATGTATTAGGAGACTCAAGGGGCTTATGCTTGGGTTCTAAGTGTGCGTAGTCATGATCGGTTTAAGATTCTCCGGAACCTCCACGTAGGGAAGCAAGGAGCGGATTGAAGGAATTGAAGTGTATAGTAGCCCATAGCGTGGAAGTTCCTATAGTGGCTCCTACATCATCCCGTGTAACATGTTAGCTTCCGTGGTTGTTTTAATTCCTTGATTTCCTAAATCCTAGACTATAGACCCTAGAGACTTTAGAAACGGACACTGCTCTTTAGGGTTCAGGGTTTCAAGCCCTAAGCTGTAGTTTCCATGTTCCTTTCCATTCCTTGCAATTCCCCTAAACCCTAAACCCTAACAAAAAAGCAAGGATGAGGGCTGACGAGTCGCTTCAGCAGCTCATGGGCAACCTCTGCCAGGCAGTTAAATTGGTTTGGCGGTGTGTAGGGTTAAGGCCTGGGTTGGTAGAGAAAAAAAGAGGGAAGGGGGTATAGGGATTCTTGCAAGGCGTCATATAGAAACTCATATACTCCGAACCCGAAACCCTGAACCCTAAACCCTAAACCCTGATACCCCAAACCTTAATTCCTTCAGTCTCCACGAGTCCCCGCTGAGGCCGGCCAGCGAGCAGCCCCGGCCCGGCAACTGTTAGATGGCCCGATCCTCACGCGGTTTAGGGTTTAGGGCTTAGGATTTAGGGTTCAGGGTATGGGATTTAGAGTTTAGGGTTGTACAGGGATTATAGAAGGACAATGGAAAAGAAAGTGGACATTACCCTTTCGGGTTGAGGGTTTAGGGATATTATCCATGATGGAGAATCACATGGATAACAAAAATGGAAAATGGCATGGAGACCGGGGTTTCAAAGAGTAAGGGGTCCCTTGGACGTGATATAAGGACTAATGTAGGGATGTATGGGTTTCTTGGATTTATGGACTAGGGATGGGACCCCTAAACCCTAAACCCTGAAGAAGTGGGACCCCCAGGATTGGAAATATGTTAAACCCAAAACCCTGAATCCTAAACGCATGGACTGCGCCCAGGGTTTCCTGACAGGTCTATGCGAGATCCTGCGTCGAAATGGCGTTACAGGCACTTGGCCAAGACAGTAACAGTACTTATAAAAGTCCTAATAGAGCAGTATTAATAGTAATTTCGGTAATAATCGTAATAATAGAATACTAATTATCGTAATAATGGTAATATCCTAGTATTAGTAGTAGTAGTAGTAGTAGTAGTAGTAGTAGTAACTAGTCTCGACTCCCGAGGACCCGAGACGGCAGCCGTGCTGCGCAGCATGGAAGCGCACATCGGCAGTCGGCAGACCACACTGATAGACGTTGCAGATTTCCTTTCTGCCTGGAGATGTGCCGCAGGCGGGTATGGTAGTTTCCCTAAATACGGATACCCCAATGTAGACCCCCAAATACAATCCTTATTATGGGAACCGCCCAAAAAAGTACACATAATCTCGGGGAATTCCCGTATGCAGTGTAGAGGTGCCCACTACCCCTTTAAACCCCAAACCCTTAACCCTAAACCCTTAACTCTAAACCCTCAACCCTTGACCCTAAACCCTAAACCCTTAACCCTTAACCCTAAAGTTAGACCTCCTGGGCTCTTGCAAGGCATCTCTGCAGAGCTGACGCCCCAGCAGTCGGAGCTTCTGGGTTGTTGTTAAGGAACTCAATTTAAGTTACTATATTGGGGAAACCCTATTAATTACCATATATACCCATTATGGCAACTTAATTTAAGTTCCTTAACAGCAACCCAGGCTTTCTGCTCGGATCTCACGGCTTTTGGGCTCCGAGAGGCGCTGTCGAAAGAGGCAATTGGGTCAATATGGGGCTGGTCAGGATTATGATCCCTTTTCTGGGTAGTCTAAATATTCGGTGCCGTAGTATAATAGGGGTCCAAAAAGAGACCATAATTGTGACAACCGCACATATGTGCATGACTTTTGCAAGTAGTACCAACTAGTAGTATTCTTATATAAGTATATAAAACTAGTATTACTATTATCATTATTGTTATTACTCTTTGTATTTTTTGTTCTTTTACTATTGCTATTTTTTTTTTTACAAAGAGGCTCAGCAGTCTGGCGCCAGCTTCCTCTACGACTCTGCCCCGCGGCAGAAGCATCGGATGCCAAGGGTCCCCATGCGAACGTGGGTCCCACAGAGCGAGGTGCAAGGTATAGGGTTTATAGGGGTTATATTGGGATAATGGAAAAGAAAATGGAAACTACTGTTTAGGGTTTTGGGTTATAGTCCCCC